AGCCAAAATCGTCTCAATTCACATCACATGAGACATTTTTTTTCCAATGTGGTATCCATTCCTTTTCGATATCTGCGTAAATTTTAGAACTATTTTTTGCTCTCCTTTAGATGTTTTCTTCAACGCAGATCTAGGGCAAAGGCCTAAATGGTGAATCCCCACAAATTTCAACATGTTTGTGAAAAGTAAACAACTTCATCATTATAAAAATTGTATTTTCAATTTTTTTTGGTGGATTTTATTAAATGTGTATAAACTTTAAAAAAAATGTATTTCAATTATTGAATCAATATTCTGACCTTAAATTCCGATGTTGAGCTCGAAAAATTCGTAAATTCTAGGCCTATTCTAACCTACTCAGTAAGTATACTAATCAAGGAGGTTCTGATCATCACTGCATGTGATTGCACATGTGCAACCACTGTGCTGTGTATACTAAGAAGTTCAAATGGGAAACTAATTTTCCGTACCATATGACATACCACGATGTTCAATTATCATCAATCAATGTATTTGAATCGATATTAGGCCTACAGGAAAATAGTTTGTTAATAAAACATTGATAAACATTGTTCATTTTGTGGAATGCTTGAATACCATACAAAATTAAGGAATATCATATGAGTGAGTACTGTATGTGTGTAAACTTGTCTCTTTCTTATCTGTGCCTGTGATAGCCAGCTAAGTCCTGGCAGGCTTATGGCGCCTTAGCCTGCCTAGGCCTAGATACTGTAGCCTACACAGTGGCTGTAGGCCTATCTAACCTAGGCCTAAACTCACGATACGATATTTTCAGCTATTGTATGATATTCCTCTCATGAATTAAATTTAGGCTTTTTGAGATTCGCGAAAGTTTAATGTCGCGAAAACGGCCGAAATTATCAATTCGCGAAAGTTTCTGGTTTACAGTATTTAGGCTAGGTAGGCCTATGTATGAAGAATGTGTAAAAATATCAACTTTTTTAGAGCTCAGTAACTTATTCTGAAAAACTGTTAAAAAAAAATGATGTAGAGAAATGCCATCAAATGGGCTTAAAAAACTCTAAAACCCTGGAGCGCAATGGCGCTTCCGCCCCCTTGACCCCCGACCAGGGCTCTGCCCCTGGACCGCGATGGGGGCCTAGGCGGCCCCCTATATCCCCTGCCTATTTCAATTTACTCTCCTGTTACTTTCAAATATCTCCTGCTACTCAAATTCTTAAATAAACCCTTGATACATGACACATTTACAAGAAACAACATTAGGAAGAGAATTTACATAAATAATAAACAATAAAGGTCCTAAAATGGAACCCTGGGGTATTCCAATATTAATGTTTTTAGAGTCCGAGAGAATAGAATTTATACAAACAACTTGGGATCTACAACTTAAATATGAAGTGAAACATTTTAGAACATTACCACTTATTCCAATCTCCCTTAATTTATCAAAAAGCAGCTTATGATTTACTGTATCGAATGCTTTCTTTAAATCTAAAAATATGGCAGCTGTTGCTTTTCCATTGTTCTGATTTTTAAGAATGTAATCTGAGACATTCAAGAGGATTGTATTTGTCAAATGTTCTTTTTTCTGAAACCAGATTGGGATGGATTTAGAATGTTATTATTAGACAGATATTCATACACTTGATTGTGAACTGCATGTTCAATAATTTTAGAGATTATAGGCAGCACACAAATCGGTCTATAATTATTTGCATCTGCTTTATCTCCCTCTTTAAATATAGGGGTTACTTTCGCAATTTTCCAATCGGATGGAAAAGTTGAAGTAAATAAAGAAAAATTACAGATATATGCAATTGATTCGCATACAACAGGGGCAGCCAACTTTAAAAGTCTGCAATTTATATCATCTAGACCAGAGGCCTTATTATTTGAAAGGTTGCAAATCTCATTGAAAACATATTCAGGTGTAATGACATCGAATTAACAAAGTTATCAAAAGGGTTTATAATGTTAACTCTTGCTATATAACTTTTAGAGTAATAGGATTTACTTATTGGTGTTTGTGTGGTAGTTTGATCATGGAGGTATTATTGAGAAGGAGATCACTCGGCAACAGATCCCTTTGACGCGACAAACCTATGTGTTCCCCGCTTTTGGATCGCGCGCGGGCGTATTACCCTATAATTCACATTTTTTCGTTAGCAACAACTTGGCAACGACGTGCATTTATACGCTTCCAGATGAGCAGTTGTGCAATAAAACGTTTGATTTTAACCCATTAAATATCTTTATAATGAACAATGTTCCCCTGATTAGATTTTTTCGGGCTTTTGGTATGTTTTTATTTGTATATTTCAGGAACGGATTCCGTAAAATATTTATGTTAAATTACTTCTGTGTTCATTATAATTTTGTCTAAAGATTTACTGGTTCGACTATAAAGCTAAGTCAGCGTAAAACTGAAAAATACTCAGATTTTGGATTCATTTTTCGAATAGTTAACCCTAGTTAACCCTAAAATGACTTAGTTTATTATAATCCTTAATCATTTATTAATTAATATCTGTTAAAATTAGAATTGGCGAATTTTGGCCAATTTATGAAAATTGAAGTTGAAATATACTATACTTTTATAGGTCATGTAAATGTTCCATTAAATTCGAAACTTTTCTTGGTGGAAAATGTAAATATGTTTGATATTTTATGAGAGATAAATGTATCAGCTTCAAAATAGAAAAGATTGCGCAGCCATAGCGATTGACAGTATGTAGTGCGCATTGAGAAAAGAAGGTGCTCTCCATTTCGTCATGTTCAATTTTTTGGTCAACTATGCCTGCTGAAAATTTGATGGTGGGGAACACATGGGACTTCAAAGGCATCACGCAAACGTTCTTTACACGCTGCGGCAACTTTGATCTTGGTTCATTTGCATAGCGCTGCGTGCGCGTAGATTTGCCGAGTGATCTCCTTCTCAATAATACCTCCATGGTTTGATATACCATGACCTGAACATGGAAAAAAAATCCAAAGTATTAATGTTTGAATTGATGGTACATTAAAATGTGTTGGTTACTCACATTACACTTTTTGGACGTACATATAACAAGAGGACTAATCTCAATAGTGTCCTCATACGGGTAAGTGGGGCAGAAAAGTTGTGTGTATTTTGGATAGCCCTCATAGTAGACCACTTACTACTGGTAATAAAATAATTATTAAAAATGTAATTTTTCTATGGATGGCCACATTATTGGTTACTCACGTTACATTTTGTTCAATACAATTTTATAATACAATTGACTATAATTCAGTCATTATCTAAATCAGTCTTCATAAAATGTTTTCCTTTTTCACTATTGAAATTTATAACACAATCATTTTTAGTACTTTACACGTCATGCAGTGTGCATATATATAGTATCATTATTTGAAATTTATGTACGAGTAAACAAATCACAGCTCTACATTATCATGAATGCAAATAATCCATAATGCCATAGGAAACATGAATTATTTTAACATTCGTTTATTAATATTAACGAGCATGGATATTTGCATCAATGTTGCTGGGAAGGAGGAAAATTATGAATTTCAAAATTGAATTCATTTGAGAAAGTAGATGAAATTAAAATGTGTACGTTTTGGGCTACTCGCGCTGGGGTGTCTATAAAACGAAGACCGAAGACCCCTATTTTTTCTCTTTCA